CTCTCGTATTCGTAGTCAGACTTCCAGTGAAATAATCAATGACTCAACCGAAACTCCTACTCAACCTGAAAGCATTGGCGAAAGCTCCGAAGATGCATCCACATGGACTCAATTGAGAAAGAAGATTGAAGAGAATCGACCGCCGCCACCAGTTCAACCACCACAAGATCCTATCACTGAGGCTCAAGCCAGAAGAGAACAGGAAGCTAGTTCAGGGACTTATACGCCGCTGAGAAGTAGACTTCCATCAGAAAGAGGTCGCTTTACAGAAGTTCCAAGAGCGGACATGTGGAGTAGGCCAAATAGTTATAATAAAAGTAATAACATGGCTCAAACCCCACAAACGAGTCACGTGAATGATTATCAACCCTCGCAAAACAATGGTTATAACAGATCCATATTCAACTCACATCCTGCCACAAATTCTCAACCCGTACGTCCAGCTCAATCAGCACAATCAGCTCGCAGTATGTTGAAACCTCTTGGATCTTTTGGACCTTCACTTGGCTCAGGTTTTGGTAAGGCTGGTGGAAGTAGTTTCAAGATTCCCGGGTTGACAAGCCCAAGCCCATTGGTTGAGTCAGTGAGACCTCAGGAAGTTGAAGATGCGGTTGAGAAGCCTGCCGAAAAACAGAGTGCTTATAGTCCACTAGCGACAGAGCCGGAGGAGTCGAATGTGCGTGAAAAAGTGATCAACGAATTTTCATCTCCAGCGGAATTAGAAACGAGGCACAGAAGATTATCGGGACGTTGGGGAGCTGACGAAGATGCCGGGAACAATCCAAACCACAGAGATCACTCGTTGCCAAGAAATGCCCATAGTAAGCAAGCCAAAAAGGCAGCCAGGAGACAGCGAGAAATAAAAACGGACCAAGACGAAGATGAAGCGAGTGAGTTAGCTGCTGAGCGAGCAGAACTCAAAAGGCAAAGAAAGCGTGAAAAGGCAGAAAAGAAAGCAGCTGCACCAATCCCTATGATTTTGCCAGAGTTCATCAGCGTCTCGAATTTAGCCGTCGCACTCAGAGTCAAGCTTGAAGATTTCCTCGACAAATTAGAAGAATTAGGTTTCGAAGGTGTTAATCATGATCACATTTTGAATGCTGAAAATGCTGGACTTATTGCTATGGAATACAATTACGAGGCCATCATTGAAAGAGGTGAGTCTGAAGATTTGAAAGCTAGACCTCCAGCCGAAGATCCTTCAATACTACCTCAAAGAGCTCCGGTTGTTACTATCATGGGACACGTCGATCACGGTAAAACTACAATTCTTGATTATCTACGAAAATCTTCCGTTGCGGCATCAGAACACGGCGGTATTACACAACATATCGGAGCATTTTCTGTACCTATGCCTTCAGGGAAAACGATTACTTTCCTCGATACTCCTGGTCATGAAGCTTTCTTGAGTATGCGCCAAAGAGGTGCTAACGTTACTGATATTGTGATTTTGGTTGTTGCAGCAGATGATAGTGTTAAACCACAAACGATTGAAGCTATCAATCATGCCAAAGCAGCAAATGTACCAATCATTGTCGCAATCAACAAAATCGATAAGCCTGAAATTGATATTGAGCGAGTGAAACAAGATCTTGCTCGTCATGGTGTCGATGTCGAAGATTTTGGTGGTGACACTCAAGTCGTATGTGTAAGTGGCAAGACTGGAAGAGGAATGGATGATTTGGAAGAAGCCGCTGTTACTTTATCCGAAATTCTTGATATGCGTGCCGAAAGAGATGGTCCAGCAGAAGGTTATGTCATCGAAGCAAGTATCAAGTCTATGGGTAAGGTTGCTACAATCTTGGTTAGAAGAGGTACCATGCGACCGGGAGATTTTATCGTCGCTGGTAAAACTTGGGCTAGAATTAGATGCCTACGCAATGAAGCCGGTATGGAGATTGAAGAAGCCGGTCCAGGTACACCAGTGGAAATCGATGGATGGAGAGAACAACCATCTGCTGGAGATGAAGTTCTTCAAGCTCCTGATGAAGCAAAGGCCAAGAGTGTTATTGAATTCCGACTTGAGAAAGAGGAAAGGGATAAGTTGGCCGCGGATATGGAAGCTATCAATGAGAACCGCAAAATGGAACACGATAAGCGCGAACGTGAAAAGGCAGAGAAGGAATCTGCTCTTCTTGGCGAAGAAGGCGTGAAAAATGATTCTTCTACTCCTAACAAAGATCCTACCGGTCCTAAACCTGTCTACTTTGTCATCAAAGGAGATGTGAGTGGATCCGTCGAAGCAGTAGTCGATCAATTGAACGCAACTGGTACTAAAGAAGTAGAACCTATCGTTCTTCGATCTGGAGTCGGTAAACTCAGTGAATCTGATATCGAACATGCTGCCACTGCAAAAGGTTACGTTATTAACTTCAACACTGAAGTTGAACCGAACATTGCCCAATTTGCTGCGCACAACAAGGTTAAGATCTTGGACCATAACATCATCTATAGATTGATGGATGATGTAAGAGCTGAGATGTCGAAATTCTTACCACCGTTGGTTACACAAAGAGTATTGGGTGAAGCTGTTGTGGCACAAATCTTCGATATCAATATCAAAGGAAGGAAATATAGGAGTGTGGCAGGTTGTAAAGTTCGTAATGGTACCGTGTCTAAGGATGATAGATATAGGGTACTGAGAGATGGGGAGAAGGTGTTTGATGGTATGTCATTGCTTATTATTTCTTTTGATTCTCATCATTACCTTGCCATTGCCCAGCTCCCGTTCCAAGGAGCAATTAGAATTCAATATACTAATCGGTTGGTAGGTAAACTCGAATCGCTCAAGAACGTAAAGAAAGACGTTTCGGAAATGAAAAAGGGTGGTGAATGTGGTATGGGATTTTCAGGATGGACAGACTTCCAAATCGGAGATCAAATACAGGCATATGAGGAGAAGCAGGAGAAGAGATATTTGTAATTTCTTGTAGAAGTAGTTGTGAGGATTTGATACGTATCAATATAGATTTCCACTCGCATTTGCGGAGGTCGAAGATGAGAGATAGGAGATGGATGACTGAATGAATGGATGAGAAAAGTTTATACCGCATAATTATATGAAAGGACGTATGGTTTTTATGTATAGATACTAGATTAGTAGATTCTGTCTTCAATTCACTCACTGCTCTTGTATGGATCGAAGATTCTTTGATTTCATTTCATTCCATTTCATCAAAAGAGATGGATGGATTTATCTCACCTCGTCCACCGACCCGAGAACAAATAGATCAAAATCTATCACCTCGTAAATTAAATTCGATAATAAATCAACTACACGTGAAATTTTAAGAGTTGATAGTATTGAATACATCCTCAACTACCTAGGTAGCCTTTAACTACAACAGCCCGCTTAAATTTCCCATTCTCCAACTCGAATCGGAACAATTAAATTGGTGAGAGGGGTTTCGCTAGTGGTCAATTCTGGTCTCTTTTTTCTCATGTACCACCATACCTAGGTAGAGGTCAGAGAATAGATAGCTAACCAATTCCTTGCTTCAGATGATTACTCGCTCGAATGAATCTCAAGGAATGGGAAGTGTGGTTTGTATACGGAGTTATGGAGTACTTATGATCACTCAGAAAATCTGGAGTCTCGACGATAGCATCTAAAGATATTTCTACCAGTAGGTAACCTAAATCCGCTTCTTCCCATTGTATTGCAATTCCCACTTCAACTCCTACACACATCTACATCTACATCTACATCCCCATACACAACCATACCCACACCCACACCCTCATTCCTAGGCCTTGGCTGTGAATGTTAATGCGGATTTTGATGTTGATGTTAATATTAATGTTACAGGCGAGTATGATATACATACCTAGGTAGGGGGCTCGGGGGGTAACCTTAGTGTAGTGTAGTCTAGTAAGTCGACTGAGTCTGTGCTCTGACACGAAACGAAACGAAACGGAACGGAATGGAATGGAACGAAACGAAACGAAACTCGTTTCCTGACCACTGTACACTTCGCATGGAATATGATATTCATGATATGATATGATGATTGTTGGATTCATATTCGTCCGATATTTGATATTTGAGTTTATTTTTTTTTGAAACGGAGTACGTGGGGATTGATGGGTGTCTAGGTACCTAGGCATTCGGTTGGTATGGATGGATAGATGGTGTTTTGATAATTGTTTCAGGATATAGGGAGAGAGGAAGGGGGTGAAACTTTACTTTTCTTTACTTTACTTTACTTTTCTTGGGAATAAGAGGGGGTTTTGATGTGTGGATTGTGTGGTTTCGCGGTCGAGGCATGATACGAAATGAATAATGCATGATGCATAATGCATGATTGATCGACGATGGATGAGGAGGGAGGAGGAAAGTAAGGTAAGGTAAGGTAAGATGAGGTGAGATGAGATTTCGTTGCGAGGTTTGTGTGTGTGTGTGTGTGTGTGTGTGTGTGTGTGTGTGTGTGTGTGTCACTGATGTTTTCGCATCGGATGTATGGATGTGGGTGAGTAGGTAGATAGGTATTGAACGATGAGAAAGGAGAGGGGTTATGATTCCAACTAATTATCCGAGTATTACGAATATTGTATTGTATTGTGTTTGGAGGTTTGATCTGGCTATTTAATTAACTTTGTTTCTTTTCGGATTCTTGGATTCGAATCGGAATCTGGGTCTGCATTTGGATCTGCATCTATATTGATATTTGTATTTGTATTTACATTGGATCTACCGGATTATATCACACCACATCTGCAAGTCCTCGACGAGATAGATAATTACTCAACATAACGACAGCTCGAATTTCTCCAATACGAAAAAATACAAAAGAGAAAATAAAACTTTGTTTCTATGTTGAGCTTGTAGATCTACACATTCACATTCACCCGTGGACATCTTCATATTGATTTCTATTCAGCTAGGCTGGGAAGAGATATATATATATATATTATTACATCACAAACCACACCCGGGAAACGACCTCTTGAAACAGAAACACACACCTAAGAAACACCTCTTCAGGAAAGAAAAAAAAATTATGAAATCAGCCCTCACCTACCTCTACAGCAGCACCAAAAGCGTCGCGGAGGAACGCTCCCAAAATCGAGAGTGGAGACGGACGTATGATGGGAATGGAGGGTTGAGGGTTAGTAAGTTGGGGGTTGGGGAACAGAGGGAGAGGGAGAGGAGGTTTACGATGGGGGGGTTGGGGGGTGGGAGTGGGAGTGGGAGTGGGAGTGGGAAAGAGAGGGGGGGTGGGGATGTGGGTGAGAGGAGGAGGGAGAGGGAGAGGGAGAGGGAGAGGGAGAGGAGGTTTACGATTGGGGGATTGGGGATGGGGATGAATGTGGGGGTGGGAAAGGAGGAGAGAGGAGAGGGGGAGAGAGAGGGAGAGGGAGAAGAAGAGAGGGTTGGGGGTCGGGAGGGGGAGGGGAGATGATAAATGGATCACGATTGAGGAGATGGATGGGGATGGGGATAGGGATGAGGAAGGAGAGGGGAATATGAATCCCGGGCGCGGAGAGGGAAGAGAGGGAGGAGGAGTGGGGAGAAGAGAAAAAGAAAGAGAAAGAGGAAGGTGGAGGAAAAGTGTTATTTCCATGTTTCAACCGGCTTTGAAGAGAGGGGATTTTTGATTTTGGGGGGGGGGGGAGTTTCGGATGATGGGAATGGAAGATGGAGTTTTGTTTGCTGGGTGGTTATTAGTTAATGAGGGGTTTGCCATGGAATCTGATAGAAACAATCTATTTGATGTCTTCTTATTTTCATTTGTGTGGATTGATTAGAATGGAATGATGAAACTCTAAATGTATTTCTCATCATCTAGGTCTCGAAAAATGATGAAAATTTCTCATACCCATCTTCCTTTTCAATTCCTTCTCTTACAAATTCTACACAACAACACCCTCTCCAACCTTTCTTCCAATTCCCTCTCTTACAAAATCTACACAACAACACCCTCTCCAATCTCCACAATAGCCTTCACTAACCCCTCCATTGTTTCCCGTCTCGTCTGAACATTCACCACCGCCCTGAAAAATTTCCCCTTTTCCCCACTCGCATAATCCACCATAAATCCTCTCGTCAACAATTTCTGCGCTACATCCTGTGTGATTTTCGTATTTTGTTCTTTGTCCCCTAGCTTCCCCTCCTTTGCATAGTAGAAACAAACCTGCAAACAGGGCGGTGGATTTTGCGAAACAAGTACCAGATCACTATGGTCCTCTACCAACTGGGCAAAATATTCTGCCACGGAAAAAGCATGATCGATTTGTTGCTGGAAACCCGATGTACCGTAGTAGATCCAGGAGAGAGCTAGTTTGAGAGAATCTCCACGACGACCACATTGCAGAGTGAGATCTGCGAGGTCCCAAACTTCGGCTCCGTCTTCGATGGTGTGGAAGAGGTAGTCTGCGGGGAGAGTGTTTGCTTTGTGGAATTTTGAGATATCGGGTGCGAGGAGGAAGGAACAGGTTACGGGGACATTTAACATTTTATGCGGGTTTACGGCTAGAGAGTCGGCGAGGTGAGAACCTTTTAATTTGGAGGCGTGGGTGGGAGAGAAAATGGCGGGACCACCCCATGAAGCATCGATGTGGAACCAGAGGTTGTGGGATTTACAGATGGCGGAGATTTCGGTAAAGGGGTCGTAGGAACCATAGATGGTGGTTCCGGCGGTGGCATTTACGTAAAAGGGAGTTTTGTTCTCGGAAATGCTCTTTTTGATGAGGGAGTCGAGTTCAGAGGGAATCATACGACCTTGAGGATCGACGGGGACGGGAATCACGTTATTGGATCCCAGACCACACATTTGAGCGGCTTTTTCCAGGGAATAGTGACCATGAGCCGAAGTGAAGAGAACAAATTGATGATTTCCATTTCCATTTTGTTTTGTGTCTGGGAAGAGGGTATTGCGGGCAATGATCATGGAGGTAGTGTTTGAAGCCGAACCACCTTGAGTTGAGATCCCTCCTGCGTGAGGACCATTGAAACCGAAAAGATTGGCAAAGGCTTTTGCCGTGGTTTTTTCAATAATGGTCAAGGCAGGGGAAACTTGGTATACATGAACCTATCGATGAGTTTAGTATAGGGCTGACATGATGGATGGCATGCAAGGTTATCAGTCGTCAAGACACGACCCACGAAGGATTAATCTTACATTTGTATTTAAAACGGCCAATATTAATTCCGAGATAATTCCTACCTATCGATCAAGTTTTCAGCTGAAGGACTTGTTGAATGTGTAACTTTCACCGCTTCAATTGTGGATGCAGAGGGATGCAGATGAGTACGTACCGCATTGGTGCTTGCATACAGTTTATCTAAGAATCCTTGATCCCACGTATTCACACTGTATTTGAGCACTTGCTCGATGGATGATAATAAACCCTCTTTTCCTTTTCCATTGATGGGAAGATTGAAATCTAGCAGTTGGAGTAATTTCTCTGGTTTGTGATGTTCGAGAAGAGTGGTTCGCGGACCTCCACCAGGAATGGCTTTTCCATGACCGGTGTGTTTGGTCATGGCATCTTCATCGGCCGATTTGATGAAAGGAATGATGAGCGATTGAACGGCATTGAGTAACTAGGATAATTGAGTATGTTAGATGATGTGTACTTGTGATGGTTACTGTGGTTACTTTTGATTGCGATGATTTGAAGTGATATGGAGATGATGGAAGGGGATGAAAGACATGGCTGGCTGGATTAAGGTTTTTGATATTGAGATGAGGTATACGGTATGTGTAGGAAGTGTGTGTAGATGGTGTGTGTAGGTCGTATATGTAGCTAGGATGTGGAAGTAGCTAGGTAGGTGTATAAGATTGAAGGGGTCGAAGGGGTAACGATAATGATAATGATAATGACAATGATCATGATAATGATAACTCATAACTTGGAATGAATGAATGAATGCATGCATGGACTTTTTCTCACATCTTCTACTTCATCGGCACGATTCAATGGGTTTGGAGCGTCTGGCCCAGTTGAAAGCGTGTGATCCCGGAGTGGTAAAGCGGTTTTTGATACATTTGAAGACATTGTGAGGAAGGAATTGATAGAGGGAGAGGTGATAATGTGAGTGACGATTTTGTAGTGAGTAGGGAGAAGAGTATCAATTAGAGAAGAATATCAATAGAAGAATGTCAATAGAAGAATATCAATACAAGAATGTCAATAGAGCAAGAGAACTAAGAGCTTTGCCAGAAGAGAATTCGAATTACTAATAAGTGATGAGTACCTAGTAGGTAATTGAGTACCAGTTTTATGTGTATATGTGTATATATATATGTGTGTAGATATATGTGTGTAGATATATGTGTGTAGATATATGTGTGTAGATATATGTGTGTATATATGTGTATTTGTATATACGATATATGCGTATATATATATATACCAGTACCCGCAGCATAGAATTATAACCTCACTCACCCAGTCGATGATGAATGGATTAAGATATCAAAACCGTAATCCCGACATAATACTAGCGATGACTAACTCATTGTATTAGTAACAGATGAAAATATATTCCATTCCCATGACGCAAAGATTTCACCATCATCAGTCATTTGGGATTGTCAAAGCCATAAACTTATTATTATACCTAGTAGCTGGTAGCCATACCGGCACCTCGACCACAGCAAAACCAAAAGAGCGAGAAAAACGGCAGAATATCGGACCAAGGGAAACAGCGGTGATTTATACCTAGGCTGGGTACTTATCACGTGCTGTGTATATCATAATGTATGGATTACCTAGGGTGTGATCTGAGTGAAGTCGGAGTGAAGATCGATTGAAGTTTGAGTGAAGTTTGACTGAAGATGAAGTGAAGTTTGAGTGAAGATATGGATCAAGCGAGTGAAGATAGAAATGGAAACTCAAAGCAAAGAAATGAAAGAAAAAAAAGATTTATTTAAAAAAAAAAGGCTGAAGATCTCACCGCTTTGATAAACGCTGGGATTTTTCTTCTTCTTTACCTTCCTAGCTATGTGACAACAAGGCACGACAAGGCTCACAGCCCACTTCGTTCCAACACTTTGACCAATTTATCCTCCTTCACTGGTTCATTCCCTCGTTATCCATCACTCGATCGACTCCATCAAGAGGTCCATTCACGGGATTTCACTCCATTCACTCCATTCATTCATCATTTTGCCAAGAAAGTTCAGCTACGAGACATGGTTGTGCCACAATACCCAGTAACAAGTACAAAAATAAACCGCTAGCGCCCGCAATTCACATTTCCAAAACTTTTGATTCGAATTCTTCAATTACATCAACTTTCTCGGTCTGCCTTCTACTTCCGCCTCCATCCTCCTCCCATTATCCCTTGATTCCAAGGAAAAAGGAGAAACGAGAATTTCCATCTTCTTTCTACATTATACTCTCATTCTTTCACTCTTTCACTTCTACATTACATTCAATTCTATTCGACTCAATCCAGGTCCACTCCATTCCATTCGGTTGACCTCACTCCCCTCTCAAAAACCACACATCCCCTCCACAATGCCAAAAGAAAATAAGCATGCCAGAGGTAGAAGAGACACTTTGAAAAGAAAGAGGGAAGAAAATCCCGATAGGGAAGAAGATCATGATAATGATTCTCAAGATCTGAAAAAGCGAAGATCTTCCCAAATTGAAGACGAGGTTTCTTTCACAGGTCTGGATAACGACAAAAGTCTATCGTCATTCCCAGCTGCCACAGGCACAAATGCAATTGAAGTCGCGGACCGACCTTATTATGGATTACTTGAGGACGAAGAACAAGAATACTTTCGAAGAGCAGACGAATTACTCGAATTGAACGATTTCCCCTCCGATGAAGAACGAAGTCTCTTTCTCGCAAATGTATATCGGGAAGCAAAAGGAAAGGAATTGAAGATTGCCTGTAGTCAATCATGTTCGAGATTAATGGAAAGATTGATTTTGTTGAGTACACCTCAGCAGAAAAAGAAATTGTTCTCTCAATTTGCCGGAAATTTCCCTCATTTGGTATCACATCGTTTCGCAAGTCATTGTTGTGAAACGTTATTCATTCAATCGGCTTCAATTGTTACCGAAGAACTTACGGGAGAAGAAAAGAAGGATGAGAAGAAAGTGGCAGAGGTAAAGGCAGATGCAGAGGATGGTGAGGAGGCAAAAGAAGATGAGATTACTGAGTCGATGGAAAGTTTGTTTCTAGCTACGTTGGACGAACTCGAAGGACAATTATCCTCTCTTCTCACCGATCGATTCGCCTCCCACACACTTCGAGTTTTACTCATCATCCTTTCCGGGCGACCTTTGGAGAAATCTTCGACTAAATCATTACTACAAAGCAAGAAGAAGGAAAAGGTTGGTATAAATGGATTGGATACCGCCCCCACAGAGTTTTCTCTCAATAAGCGTACTGTGCCAGAATCTTTCTTGTGGGCAATTGAGAAGATTATTTCGGATACCATTGCTTCCATGGACAGAGCTTTCATCCAGGTTTTGGTTGGACATCCCACTGGAAATCCTTGTTTACAATTGTTACTTGAATTAGAGCTCACGAATCCAAGCTCCAAAAAGGGTGGTAATTCCGAACAAAAGACTCTCATTTCAACACTTTTACCAGATGACATTACTGTAGAAGGTAGTCAATCTGCCATCTTCGTCAATGGTATTGTCTACGATCAAATTGGATCGAGGGTTTTGGAAACAATCATGACACATAGTCCAGGAAAGTTATTTAAACAAATTTATCGAGCAATCTTCAAGGATCGAATCGCAGGATTGGCACGAAACGAGATCGCATCTTACGTTGTCATTCGAGTTTTGAATCGTCTTAGCAAAGAAGATCTCGAGGAAGCGATTACCGAAATTTCCCCTCAAATCGAAGGTTTGGTCGGCAGGCAACGTACAAACATTATCAAGGTTTTATTGGAACGTTGTCAAGTACGACGTGCAAGTACTGAAGCTCTCACAAAAAGTATTGCTGATGCATATGGATCTGATAAAAATGAGTTGATATTGAAGATGGCCGACATTTCTCTCGAAACTCTTACATTGGCTACAGCACCACCTGCAGCAGCAGCTGATGATGATAAACCAGCCCCGGTTCCTGTCTTGCCAAAGCCTAGCCCATCTCAACTTCACGGATCATTACTTGCTCAGGCTATGCTTAAGATTCCTGGACCACCTGCGCAACTCATTCAGAATTCTTTGTTGGCTCTTCCCACCTCTACGATTCTCGCACTCTCTTTATACCCAACCACAACTCATATTATTCAGGCATCATTGCTTCCATCTCCACCCAATACCCCTTCAAATCTTTTATTCCGTCGCAAGCTCATCAATTCTATTATATCACCTTCAGCCGGAGCTACTCCAACACCTCAACCTCCAATCATCACATTATCCTTGTCGTCTGCAGGAACACACATCTTGGATTCCCTTTTACACACCACGACCACTCCAACTTCTACCTCATCAGCTTCCCTATTTTCTCTCTGCGAACGTATCGCCATGTCCCTCATGCCCTACGAACCTTTACTTAGAGATAGCTGGACTGGAAGAATTGTTTGGAGAAATTGGTCTATGGATTTATTCAAGAGAAGAAGAGCGGATTGGGTAAAGAGAGTGAAGAGTGGTGATACACAAGGAAAATCGAATATTCAAAGTCAGGTGGTATTGAAGAGTCAAGATGGTAATGCAAATGCTGTTGTTGGAAAGGAAATTCTTGGAGATGGAATTGGAAAGCCACATGGAAAGGGTAAAGGTGGTGAGAAGGAATTTGGAGGAGAGAGACAAAAGAGTGCTATCGAGTTGGCAAGAGAAAAGTTCGCTGCTCAGAAACTTGCGAGTGGAAAGATAAAGACTATGCCACCAAAGGGATTCAGAGCAACTGGTGCAAACGCTATTTGAGGGGGTAGAATTGTAATTCGGGGAGGGGGGGGGGGGGGGGGGGGGGATTGGATCAAACGAACATGGAATCTTGAACGAGTCTTCACGATAATGACATGATGGAATTGGATGAATGGATCAAAATACTCATGACACAACTCGCTTTTCTGGAAAACGAACAGACGAGCAAAAAGGTATTAGCCAACGACAATCGGGATGGATGAGAACCGGATATAAAAAGTCAGGCAAAATAACGAACGAGAAACAGGCACACGAAGGAACAAAAAAAGGGTGTATGATATGAGAATGCAAAAGACCATGAATGTGATAGCTGAGAGCGATGAGAAAGGGTTTTTACTTTACTTTACTTTCTTTTTTCGTTTGTTTGTCTGTCTACTCTGGTCCGCAATAAGATGTTTCTTAATTGTTTGAATGGCTTTGAAATAATGATTTTCATGTTGGTTATTTCTCTTTTTTTGATTGATCAAACATATTAGCGTGCATAGCATGGGGCAATGGGGATAGGGGTCGATGAATGGATGGATGGATGAGGAGAGGGGGGGATGATGAGATTAGATTAGTGGGGGAGGAAATGATAATTCAGAATTTGATATCATAGAATTCATTTTTTTGATCTTTGTTTTGGTGATTAAAGTGTGATGATATGTTTTTTGATCTTTTTGATACTGAATTGGCGAGTGAGCGTACTAAACATTAAGGTAGAGTGGGGGGTCAATCGGTCGATGTGTAAGTGTAAGTGTATAGGTATAGGTATAGGTATTGGTATAGATAGGTATGGGTATGTGTCTGTTGAATTCATGAATCGCATATAGAGTGTTACACTTCCTTCATCTTACCATGGTCATTGCCATTGCCCCCTTCGAAAGATCTCGTCTCTACTTCGTCCATCAAAGTCAATACATGCTTTCCATTTTGGGTCCACGCGAAGTTATAACATTCCCAGCTTAAAACGATGCTACGTAAGTACCTATGACTCGAGCTTACCATGCATTATGTAATAGTACAAGAGCTAAATCCCGCAAAGAATATAAATTCAATGGGCAACCGCAACACTTGCATTTATCCTCCATAACTTGTCGATACACAGTTTTCTCCACAATTACTCAATTCCTATCAGTTAAAAGAACAACATAGGAAAATTGTCGATCTAATAGCAATCAAGTTAAAGATGGATATGATCATCTCCTTTATCTTCGGTGGAAGCCGATTGAGATGCGCAATGATGGTCATGTTGACATTGGCTTCCGTGTACCCCATCGCAGTGTACACAGTATTTAGATTCACGCATCGGGGTTTCGAACGTCAAGCACACCTTGAAGCAGAATATCACAAAAGACAAGAGAGAAAAGAGATCCAGGAAGCCAAAATGAGAGCAGAAGAAGATCGAATCAAAATGGCAAAAACAGAAGAAATCTCAACGGGAATTCCTTGTCCAGTTGAAACGTATGGAGACTGGAGAAGCAGACCATTTTGGTTGAGGGTGCCGGACGTAGAACCTTCGAAGTATATGGATGTGAGGTTTTTGACGGAGGAGCAGATGTGGGCCGTGAGAGAAAGAGATCGGGTGGTGCTTATAAAGAGGATGATGGAATTGGTGTGTGCAATGCGTAACAGCTTGGGTTTGCGTGAGTGGCGGGACGAGTCTGATGAAGGTTGCAGAAAGGCTGGCTGGGCTTCTGTTCATGGAACTTCTGAGAGCTACCAGCGAATTCATGATCGAGAGCTATGATGGATGTCAGTTTTGAGTGGTGAAATTTGGAGAAGATAGATCTTGTGGACACTTCCTTGGGTGCATTTGATTTTCTTGGAAGGAACAGGAAGGATTTGGACCAAACAAACGTTCAGGGAATCTTTGGCCAAGGACTATCGAAGGATGTTTGGAGGGGATGAGTTTACTCGAGCATATTCAATCAGAACTTCTCATCATCAAACATAAATCTGATTCTGACGTTGAAATGTACCATTATATTTGAGTCAATTGATACAACTTTATCTTCCACCATGTAAATCTTAGACGTCTACATGTTATCATTTAAATCATTCCGCGCTTGTACAGAAAGAGCTTGTCTTCAACGCAGAGTTGTGTTTACCATATGGAATCAATGCCATCTGAGTACACGAAATGATAATGGTTTAGAGGAGAGAATGGTCTCATGAAAGGGATTACATCATGTTTCGAATAATCATTTGCTCACGCTGCTGAAGGGTAAAGATTGTGTTATTTCTTGAGGAGTCCAACAAGGTGTCAACTGCGCGATTACTTGAAAGGGTACAGCAAGTTCCAATTTGGGAACTTGAACAGAAAAAGGAGCCCTCTCAATTCTTCTGAAATTTTCCCGTCTTTCTCTAACATTCACACTCACACTCACACTCACACTCAAATTTATATAAAAATTACAATTCAATATGGCCCGTATGTTATTCAAATTCATAATGCTCGTTTATAATACCTGTTTTATATCAAGTGATGCAGCCCTTGTGTCGACATATATGACATGATGATTGCTCATCTTCACGACATTATCTGGAGCAATCAGTTGATGGTATTGTGAGATGATGTTCATCTTGTATTCCTCGATACTATGTCTAGTACGATAAGCTCAGAACAGAGCTCATTCTGGTATTTGATTGGGTAGCCACACTACCACTTCAGAAGATTTGGAGAGAAAGCTCTCTTTTTTTGTACTTTTTTTGAATGTTCTTCAAAATAGCGCTAACATTTCCCATTTCTAGAATGTACTTCGTCTTTTGATTGGGATCGACGCCCCTACCCGGAGGGGTCATTTATGAACCAGAGGGCGTATGTCATCTGAATGTGAGAACCAAGAACCAATATTCATGCTGAAACTCTATTTTCACAGACCAGGCCAGAATCAGTGTGACAGACAGTAGGAGATTCTAGTAATATGCAAAGAGAAATTGATGCTAACTTCTCATAGCGAAGAGCAGATACGTGAATTGTATGTTTTTGCATGCATCTTATCCGTGAATGGGTGAATCAGTGAGTGAGTGGCTAACACCCGAAATAGAAGCAAAGTAGTCGCCAATTTGCGGTAAGTCTCGATTCACAGACTCAGAAAGCAATGAGGCTAATGAAATTCTCATTTTAGTGCTCAGTTGGACTCTCGGTAAGACCAATGATCTTAATTCTAAGTATATGGAGTATATATGCTTATCAACCGCTAACCATACAGAAACCATCGTGAGGATGAATTGTTAGTAGTTGATAATAATTCCACTATTGAATCAAACTGACTAGGGTTGTATAATAGTTTTAGGCTTGCTATAGATGAGTAGGGTTTCTTCTTCTCATGTCGAACATTTGCATGATCAAAGCTAACGATGTGTCAATACTATAGGATGAAGGCTCGGAGACCGTAAAGCACACTCCATTCAAACCACTGATCGTAATACTGATCACGTGACCAAACACAGAAAGCAGAATTATGAGCAAGAGACAAATGAGGAGTTTCGGGAGAGAACGTTGAAACTTTGGTTTAGCAGAAAGTAAGTAAGAATTCTTTTTACTTATGAAATTGGCTAATTTCCAATTTTGCTAGTACTTCATCAATTTTGATGATTGCGATTGTGCTAATCACCTTGGCAATTGCAATTGCTGCTTGGAAACAGGAAGCACCAAAATGTGTGTGTAAGATAGTAGAAAATTAAAATCACCATTTCATGTGATGTGTGAATTATGAGTTACAAAATTTCAAGGGGAGAGAGCTCAATAAGTACTGTGGAACTTGATATCATTACTAATTAACTAAATTCCGATGTTGTTCTTTCAACTGATAGAAATAATGTGAGTGATGACTGAGGTGAATGTATCTATCATAAATGAAGAAAACTTTTAATGAATTGGATTTTATTTCTAATTTATATTCTTTGTGGGATTTAAACTCTCGTGCTATTTTATAGTCTATGGCTGGACAGAATTGTTCATACCACATCTAGCTTACGTATCCGGAATTGATTACTAACGAGACCCTTTGATAGATTAATTGTTCAAGTTTAATTTAGAGAATCAATAATTCAAATGGTATGATAACTGAACAATGTCTCAAGATTTATTTTAATGCTATTAATCCTTACAAAGTTATTTTCAGTTAATTTATTATAGAATTTATTAGAGTGATCAACTTTGGCTTCTTTTTCATCCTATATATATAGAGAGGGATTTAACGAGACTGAGTTCGCTTAGTACATCAATTAGTGCCCATCTAGCTCGAAGCTAGGCATTTAATCACATATTCTCAGGCTTGGGAAAGAGTCAATTTGAATTTCATGATATGATATTTTTTCTACAAACGCTGCGCTCATGTGCCAATGATATTGAAGCTGGCTACATTTCTCATCATTACAAGGATATACAAACCCTTAACAACACCCCGAACTTCAGCGATGGATGATTTTGCCCGCTCTAGCGCCCCTATATCATTATTAGCTAAATCCATTCATCCATGGTATCGATGATTTTCTCAGTACCGTCGCGCTATCGAAGATGCGTAGATTCCCTAAGAAACTAGTGCATAGATTCGTTGCTTTTCCTTCGCTCTGGTGTAATGATACCTCGCCATGTGATGCGTGTTTCTTTTCCATCCATATCTATGGCTATCATTTCTAGGCTTTCCTTATCACTTGATTCCTTGGTGATAGCAGGGTTCTTGACTTCTCCCATCTGTAGATTTTCCCTGTCGCTCAATTCCTTGGTGATAGCAGGGTTCTTGACTTCTCCCATCTGTAGATTTTCCCTGTCGCTCAATTCCTTGGTAGGCGTGTGGTTATTCTCTACCAACTCTACTATTTCTTGAGATCCACTACTAAGCTCTTTCCCCATCGTCTCGATTCTGTCTGGGTTTGATACCTCGTTCAAGGGGACTGGAGGATTGAAATTGATGAAGTCCTGAATATGTGTAACTCCATGGACATCATTCACGGTAATGGTGATTGGTTCGTGTTCTCGATAGTTGATGACTCCTATTTCGTATTCCTCCTCGGTGATCTCTCTCATCATGGGTCTCGGTTCGGTAATAGCTTCACTTCGAGCGTTCATTTCGGTGTTGAGTTTAGTTTCTGCATCGACTTTGATTTGTGCATCTTTTTGAGCCTGGCGCTGGATAGATCTTTGGCGTCGCTTGCGAAAACAGTTTTTAAAGAAAGGTACGATACAGAGACAGCCCATTTTGATAACTTGGTTGTGATGTTATGGGAAGATAAATCGTTGGATGTGGTTTGAAAATGATTTTTGGGCGATGTGATGTAAATCTTTTAATCTTTTAAGATAGAATCTCATAAGAATTTGAAGGGGTTGTCTAAATGACCCATTTATATGGGCGTTTGAATGAGGGTGAGATACGTTGCTTGGTTTGGCACACGTTTAGACTTATAATGGTTAAACTTTGACCATACTAGAGAGAGCTAGCGACGTACCGGATCTTGACAATCTCACCCTCGAAGTTACGGTTCCGTGTCTTTAGAATCATGTAATCATAAATCAATGCCAAATTCTGTATGGGCTTGACATGTTTTCTGACAGGAGCTGGTCCAGTAGTAAAGCTAAAGTTATCTGTATCTTCTCATTCTCTTCTTTTGATCATCGCACCGGCATGGAATTATTTTGATTCAATTGTTCAATAGTGATTGGATATTTCATATCCTCAAGATTACTTGTTCATGAAATCCACTCTAGTAAGAAGTATCTTGATTAAAATCTTTCATTTACGCAAAAGAGACTGACTACCGTATATTTCTCCACCGTGGTATACCATGAGAATAGGACAATGATTTCTCAGTATGAGTAATTCAAATAAATACCATAATTCCATCTCACGCTAGACTACTAGTTTTTAGAATCGTCAGGCCTCTAAAACCATCAAGCCCGTGAATAAACCAAAACTCAATCTCAGTGGTATAATTTTTAACATCTTTTTAGTGCTCACAAAAGGTGGTTTAACCTGCGGTATGAGAGATTAGCGAGAACCCATGCATAGATATCAGGAGACAAGTACAACCAATTCACCAACCTTTTCCAAGCAATCCATGATCTTTCATTCAGGGAGTCCCATTAGTTATGAAAGCAGAAGTTTTTCTACAAACATATTTATTCTCTGCTTTGTACTCATCACTTGACGACGACTTTCAATGGCATCTTTTCTATCGTACAGCGTTCTTTAATCTGATTCACAATTATTTCTGTGGAATTTTCATTCTTAGGCTTAGTTGTAGCGAATAGAGCCCAAAACCATTAAATAACTTTCTAAATCGGATTTTGCGAATTCATGATTGTGAGTGAGAGATTGTAATTCTGATATTATGAGGCGTTGGAATTTAAGATTTTTGGGTTCGATAGTCTTTTAGATGGCGAGGATATCATTACACTAAATTTGAAAAGGGGAATCAATTCGAATTTGTGGCTAAGGTTGAGAGAGACTGGATAAGTAAATTCTCTTTTGATAAGAATTTGAACAATTACACGTTGGGGAGAAATTTAGGGCTGTGAGTGACAGACTAGACATTTAGTGTCGGGACATGATGCGATAATCTTAAGTCCGGTTGGAATAGGAGAACTCGTTTAAATGAGGCTAAACCATTTTGGGTCTACTGTCTCTTCCGGCGTTCCATTAGATTGTTCTAAAGTATTTTTGATTACAGCTTTGGGGAGTGTTTTTTTGCTGGTTATAGAATAGAGTAATCTGATATGTAAAATTCTCAACTGGACAATCTTGTTGGATCGAATCGTATTAATGTTGAACTTATGTATGGCTGTAATTGGATTATCGAATAGCAAATCAAGAATTTACGTTCGAAAATTGAGACCGTATTGAACTGTTTTGAGGACGATTCATTTCTAATTCTCTAGCTAGGTAACTACATAAATTTTCACCGAGATTGAATATATTCCAACTCTCGAGCCTATAAAGCGAATCCTCAGCTTTGAAATAGACATCGAGTATGGGTACCAGCAGACACTACATATCTAGGTCAATTGATCAATTCTTTCTCCTGTGAAACAAAACCAGGAACTTCGAGTCAATCTGGGACAATGAAGGCTGGAGAATAAGATTTCAAGCACCATAAATGTTCGTTAGAATTTGAAAAGGGACAGAGCTTTGGATCTATTTCATTTTGTGATAAAGCTACCTACCACTTCTTATCACCACTTCTTTGGTGCCCCAACGATCGTCCTTGAAAATGTAGCACTGGCAATGGTTGGAGATACAGTCTTGGCTTTCTCTTTTGCTATTATACCTGTCCTATCAGTGACAGGAGTAGCATCAATGATGTTGTCAAATTCATCATCTTCTCCATTATCCGAATCCGCTTCGACTTCAGAATCTTCTTTCAATGGTACTGGCCTTGAGATCTTTTCTGGTGCGACCTTTGAACTGGAATTTTGTGGGTTGGCAAATGGTTTGGAGGCTAGGACTCTTCGTCGGAGTTCTGCCATTTCCTCTTCATCATCCTCATCATCTGAGATGGCAAAAGGATCTTTATCTTCAGCCTCCTCCTCCTCCTCATCATCGTCTTTGGGTATGGGTTTCTTTTTTGGTTGTTCTTTACCGAGATAAATTCCATCGACTTCGTCGTCACTGTCTTTTCCCTCTTCATCTTCATCATCTTCATCCTCATCCTCATCTTCCGAACTTTCAGGTAATCTATGATTCGTGTTTCCACTTTTCCAAATATCATCATCACCATCCGCGCCACCCTCTCTACTCTCTTTATATTCTCTCTCCAATTTCTCCATCCAGACTTCCTGTGCCTTCTTTATCTCTGCTTCGTCTTTGCATGCTGCATAACGCTTTAATAAACTCGAATTAATATCCAGAAATGATCTGCCGTAGTTGAATGGTTCTAATATTTGTTCTGCCCAATCCTCGAATCCACATATATAGAACGCAGCTCCCAAAGCCTCCACACAATTTAGCCTCCAAGGTTTGCCATAATTGACCGAGTTCGCGGCGACGAGATATGGTAATAGCCTCTCACATTTTCCACCTATCTTAGCCCAAGGAACTTCTGCTGTACGAGCCCATGAACATTCTACAACCGCCGCACCATACTGTTGCATGATTTCACGATCTGCCGGGGATATTGTCGCTTTCGCATTTGGAGATATAATAACACCTTGATGTTTCTGACCAACATGTAACTCTCGCATAAGATTAAGCTTCATGAGTTTCTTTCCGGAACATCGTTTTGGATCGCAGTGACCGAGATCCCAACATGCGGCTTTGAATGGAGGGCGAGAAGAGCGGGGTTGCGATTCATCGTCGGAGTTGTTGCGAGGGCCTCGGGTTCGTGGAGGATTACTATATTTCTTGCCTCGAGAAGAGAAGTTATCTTTCTTGTGTCGAACCATGATTTGAATATGCAGAGGAACGTTAATATGTGGCGATTTATTTACAAAAGAGAAATTCAATGTATGATGTGATATAAAAATCGAGGTGGGGAGCCAAGAAATGTTCCAGCCTTGAGAATAGTGATGACTAAGCTCTCTCTCATCATTCCAAAGTCCAATCGTGTCCACCCCACTGAGCTCATTACAACTCTCTCTATCGCGCCGCATCAGCTCATCGACGAAGTTCTTACAACCAACACTTTTTTTACAGTTCATAACCATTCCGCTTGGTAATATAGGAGAACATACCTCCAAATGGAGGCAGCTTCCGCAAGAATGGCGGCACGAGACAGGTTCTCTATGATGGGAGATCCAGGACCCTCTCCTCTCCAACGATATATCCAGCAAGCTTGTTCCCCTGAAAATTACGAGCCAAATCTTGCTATGAACCTCGAAATTTCCGACCTCATTAATTCGAAAAAGGGAAATGCGCCACGGGAAGCAGCTATTGCAATTGTCAATTACATCAATCATCGCAACCCAAATGTTGCGATATTAGCACTTGTCCTATTGGACATTTGTGTGAAGAATTGCGGTTATCCATTTCATTTGCAAATTAGCACAAAAGAGTTTCTGAATGAATTAGTGAGGAGGTTCCCGGAACGACCACCTATCAGACCGAGTAAAGTCCAGATGAAGATTTTGGAAGCTATCGAAGAATGGAGGGGAACGATATGTCAAACTTCGAGGTACAAGGAAGATTTGGGTTTCATAAGGGATATGCATAGGTTATTAAGTTACAAAGGATATGTGTTTCCGGAAGTCAGGGTGGAGGATGCTGCGGTACTTAATCCAAGCGATGTAAGTTTAGTCATGGATCTGGGTACGGGTTGCTTTGATAGGATACTGACACCATGATAGAATTTAAAATCCGCCGAAGAGATGGAGGAAGAAGAAAAGGCGGCACAATCTGCGAAATTGCAAGAACTAATTCGTCGTGGTGGCCCCGAGGATTTGCAAGAAGCCAACAGGTTAATGAAGATTATGGCTGGATACGATACCAGATCGAAAACGGATTACCGAGCCAAAGCAGCAGAAGAAGTCGGAAAAGTACAACAGAAAGCGAGATTACTGGAAGAACGTTTAGAAGAATTCAAGCCTGGAGACGTTATGACGGAGGGTGATGTCTACGAAGAACTTGCATCAGCTCTTCAAAGTGCTCACCCCAAAATACAGAAGATGTGCGAAGAGGAATCGGATGATCACGAAGCTGTCGCAAAGCTTCTTGAAATTAATGATAGTATCCATCGTACCGTGGAGCGGTACAAGTTGATGAAGAAGGGCGATGTGGATGCAGCTTCGAAGATTGCCAAGGGCACCCTTGGAACCAGTACAGGGGTTAGCAAGAATTCCGCAAATGAACTTTCCTTGATCGATTTTGATGGAGAGCCGGAGACCAATGGAAGTTCGTCTATGAATAATGCTCCGGCGAGCACGTCCCAACCAGGTGATTTAGAAAATGACTTATTAGGGCTGTCTATGGGAGATTCCTCATACAGTCAAGAGGGTGGCATCTCCCTTGGGTTTGGTAATAATACTAGTGAGTTGTCTATATATGGTTAAAATTCACCATCCTAACAAGATCTAGATATTCCTGGTCCTGCTTTAATGTCTTCAACGACCGAAAATAGTACTGCCAGAGGACCAACGCCCACCAGATCTCCGGTAACTCCAAATTTACCCGTGAAACCCGATTATTCAGCGTTCTCTGCATTTGGATCACAACCACCTTCCAAACCCGTCACTCCACAACCATCCCTCTTCCAACAGCAACAACAGCA